GTGATTCTGTGATTCTGTGATTCTGTGACCATGTCTCCCACAGCAACAGATCTATTATGGGAGAGGGTAATGTGATTTCTGTTTTCACACTATAGGAGTTTACTCTTTGTTTAAAATGTAGTGTTAACAGTCATGACATAACTTGTGGATTTGTTTGTATGTTTTGTTCTCCTTAGTATTATATGCATTAAAAATACTTATTGTAAACAATGGACATTTTTGTGCCTGACAGGTCCTCATGACAACAGTAAAATGGGAATCCTCTACATCCTAGTTCCCAGCATAGCCATCCCTTTGGTTATTGCCTGCCTTTTCTTCCTGGTCTGTATGTGCAGAAACAAGCAGAAGGCATCTGCTGCTACACCACAGCGCCGCCAGTTGATGGCATCTCCCAGCCAGGACATGGAAATGCCACTCATTAATCAACACAAACAGGTATTTTTTATCCAGAATTTGCTTAGGCCACATATTTCCAAAGTGTTGTGAATTTCAGTGTCTCCGGTTGTCAGTGTTGAAACTGAGCCACGTTGTTTAGGGGCTCGTTTCCATACTGTGCTAGCTGCTTACTTCAGTGAAAACCGGGTCTTGCACTCTCTAGCTATATCTAGAGATCCTGGCCTCAGGCAACAGCTTTCAGAACAAAGTATTTTATGACATTTGTCCTTACCTGTCAATCCCCATTCTGCTTGTTGTCTCAGTGACTGGAAATGTTGTTATTTCTGATCTAGCCATAAGCCTGCAGCGCATTTTTGCTCCTGGTAACAACGCAGTTGGTTTGCGTGTTTAAAGCAGGATGCGCAGGGGAGTTTCTTGTCTAATCCATCCTCTCAGTCCTCTAGTATTCTGAACCACCACCGAGCAGGGAGCTGATCCAGGGTGCAACATGCTTCTAAGGCTGTGTATCACAAAAGGTGGTGAAACAACAGTGATTTTGAACTTCTGTCTGCAGATCTCAACTCCTGAAAACTGTTTTCTGAGTCAAATGACTGATACATGTGCCAAAAATCCTGTTCAGGGCTAATGTTGTTTTTTTTAATAACAGCATTTACAAAATGGAAGCTCTAAAAAACAATGCTCAGTTTAGAACAATTGGCAACATCTGTTCAGGAAACTGTGGAATATTTGCAGGATATTACCAGTTGTAACAAATTGCATTGTTATTGCGTGATAATGGGGAGGTTTAAAGGCTGAGTCTGGGCTGTGCTGGAAACTATCTGGTCCACTCCACACCCTGTTGGCCACTAAAATCACAGCTTTTTCCCGAATCACCTGGTAAAACCTTTTTCCATCCTACCCTGCTCCCTTGTGCTGCAATGCCCTGTGTGTGAAGCTGAGCTAGCTGCATCTGGCTCAGTCGAGGACTCCTCCAATCCGTGCTAGTCAGGACAGACCCATTAGATCACCGCCAAACTCCCTTGCTTTCCCTGACAGCTTCAGGAGGGTGGCTATGGGGATTTTTCACTTCTGGCTTTGACACCTTTTCCTTCATGTAACAGAGAGAAATTCCTTCTACCTTCTGCTTGTCTTGCATGTCCTTCTTCATCAGAGCTAGTGCAAGGTTTCTCAGCAGGGATAAATGTGTACTGCTACCCACAGGCAGGAGGTGCTCCCATCGTGGAGAAGAAAGGGCACACCTGCTTCTGCAGAACCCAAAGAGAGAGATTTTGTCCCTCCTTCTGCTGGGAGGGAATGTTTCAGTTCCCCTGAGGTTTCCACCTCCTCAGCCGATGCCCACAGCTTATTTTCTTTTTTTTCCAGTGGCCCAATCTGTAGGGCAAGTGCAGCTGTAGTTAATAGATGTCATCGTTCACCAGATTTACTCTGAACCGAGTATTCAGTAAACTTGCAGGAAATATGGTCACTCCTTTGTAAAAATAATTATACTCATCATCTTGATAATAGAATAACTCATGTCAAGGTTCACTGTAATAATCAGTGTACTGATGTGAGTATACAGAAAACTGAAAAGTATTTTTGGACACTCCATTTGGAGTGTCTAACCACGTGAACTTTCCTTTAATAAGAGATTCTGTGGTTTCATTGTGATTTTTTTACCGGCTGACTTTCTCTATTACAGGCTAAACTTAAAGAAATCAACTTGTCCACTGTGCGGTTTATGGAGGAACTAGGAGAGGAGAGATTTGGCAAAGTCTACAAGGGGCATCTTTTTGGTACAGCGCCAGGTGAACAGACACAAGCTGTTGCTATCAAGACCCTGAAAGACAAAGCAGAACTCGCTCTTCGTGAAGAATTCAAACATGAGGCAATGATGAGATCACGATTACAGCACCCAAACATTGTTTGTTTGCTGGGAATTGTGACGAAGGAACAACCAATAAGCATGATATTTAGTTACTGTTCCCACAGTGACCTCCATGAGTTCTTGGTGATGAGATCTCCCCATTCGGATGTTGGCAGCACTGATGATGATAAGACAGTAAAATCAACTCTGGAACCAGCAGACTTTTTTCACATTGTGACTCAGATAGCTGCAGGAATGGAGTATCTTTCAAACCACCACGTTGTCCACAAGGACTTGGCCACTAGAAATATACTGGTGTTTGATAAACTGAATGTGAAAATATCCGATTTAGGCCTTTTCAGGGAAGTTTACGCTGCAGATTACTACAAACTGATGGGAAATTCCCTTCTTCCTATCCGGTGGATGTCCCCTGAGGCTATTATGTATGGCAAGTTTTCTGTTGATTCAGATATATGGTCCTATGGAGTTGTGTTGTGGGAAGTTTTCAGCTACGGTCTGCAGCCTTACTGTGGTTATTCTAACCAGGATGTCATCGAGATGATCAGGAACCGACAGGTTTTGCCATGTCCTGACGACTGCCCCACATGGATGTACACTTTGATGTTGGAGTGTTGGAATGAATTTCCCAACAGAAGACCAAGATTTAAAGATATACACAACAGACTAAGAACATGGGGAAACCTTTCTAACTACAACAGCTCAGCGCAAACCTCTGGGGCAAGCAACACCACGCAAACAAGTTCTCTCAGCACGAGCCCTGTTAGCAATGTCAGCAATGCTAGGTACGTTGGACCAAAGCAGAAAACTCCAGCTTTCCCTCAACCACAGTTCATACAAATGAAAGGGCAGTTGAGGCCAATGGTTCCACCTCCTCAGCTCTACATTCCAGTCAATGGTTACCAGCCAATGCCTGCCTATGGTGCTTACTTGCCAAATTTTTATCCCGTCCAAATTCCAATGCAAATGGCTCCTCAGCAAATGCCTCCCCAGATCATTCCTAAACCAAGCTCCCACCACAGTGGGAGTGGATCCACCAGCACAGGCTATGTAACAACGGCGCCTTCCAATGCGTCGGTGGCCGACAGGGCTGCTCTGCTCTCGGAGGGCACAGATGATACACACAATGGAACGGAAGACATTGCCCAGAATCCTGTCCAGGAGGAAGAGGAAGAGGAGGGCTCTGTGCCTGAAACAGAATTGCTGGGCGATAATGACACACTTCAGATGGACGAAGCAGAAGTTCAACCAGAAGCCTAAGGAATCTGGGCTCATTACTAAGAATTTCACATCACTTCCATGCATGGAGACTGTAGATCCTTAGGCTTAATAGCGATGATTTTGATCTAACTAGAAGAAAGAAAACTAAAAAAAACCCTACACCCTTGTAAAGTGCAGCAGTAATGATATACCAGGTTTATCGACCATTGCCACCATCAGATTTTTCAAATATGATGGTATGGAATTGCTGGGTTAATCTTTTTTTTACTGTCCTACAGTTCTTGAGGGAAGCTGCTTTTCAGTTATGTACTGTTGCTGTGCAACATATTGCAGAGTAGCATTGCACGTCATGTATATCATGATATATGAGTGTAATGTTAGTGAATTATGCTTAAACCAATAGTACTAAAAGGTATCCAGCTATGGTTGCAGAATTGCTCTGAGCATAAGGAAGTGCCCTGGATGCGATGGACAGCTTAGTTTATAGTATTTATCTCTTTGATGTAACGGACAGGAGATTGTTTGCTTTTTGAGTCTGAAAAAATTACAAGTGGAGAGTACTAATCCGTGTTTGAATTATGATAAGCAGAAAAGTAGGGAAACCGAACATAAAATTGACTGTGCTGAATCAGATCATGGATCTGTCCAGTCTGGTAGTGTGTCTCAAAAGGCCGTCAATAATGTCTGCCCAGGGAAGACTGCAAGGCCAATTTCCTTTGTAGAATTTCCCCAGGGTATTTCCCCAGCTTCCAGCAATTTGTGGCATAGGGACATCCTAAGCCAGAAGTGGATTTTTTTTCTGTTTGTTAGCCCTTGATGGAATTTTCTACCATGAATTTGTCTGAATGATTTTGAACCCACAAAAAACTTATAGCATCCACAACATCCTGTGGAATAACATGAGAGGAGAGAGGATGGCTTTCTTTCATCATTCCCAATGAATGACTGTGACAGAAGCTTCCAAATGAGATCGTCTGACTGCATTTGTGGATGAAAGTATTCCTTCTCTGCTGTGTATTTTCAGCAGCAAGCAGCCTTAATACACTGTTAACCAAAAATGGGGATATTGTAGGGGATATTGTAGGTGTGCACTAACTTAACAATCCAACTTTAATTGCTTGTTGGTTATCAAGTATTGAAAAGGGCTCCACGCGTATGTTCCTACATTGTACAAGCGTTGGGTTTTGTGCGGGGTTACATATGTACTTGATTTACCACAATTACTGATGGATTGCATGTGAAACCATGTGTGTTTTATTTTCCTGCCTGTTTAGTGAAAATGAATCTTTGAGCTTTGGAAGACGAAATGAGCAATACTGTACAAAGTGCTGGTTTTGTGCTTTCTGTTTGCAGGATGAATCATGTACAGACCTTTAAATGTAATTTATGTTTTACTACATTTTATATGCTTTTTTGTTGAAATATTTGGATTTTTGAATGAATGACTTTATAACTTAACCATTTACAATATTCTCATGTGGTGCAGATTTATTGTATTGCTGTTAAATTTTGTTAAACATGCAGACAGGTCCATACATTTCATGACCCTTTCTGTAATACAAGCAATACACATTCTCATTGTAGCGTTGTAGCCAACACACACTATAGCTATAGGTTGTACATCCAACACGAAGTATTCAATAAAGTGAAGCAAAAAGTATGATTAAGTATGTTATCTTTATAGTTCCTACAGCCGCTGTTTTGTCATGGTACTTTGTGGAAATGGAAATGCACAGTTTCTTAGGTTACAGGTTTCATACCTAAACTACAGCTTTTGATTTTATTACATTGGGATTTGCGTATCATTGTGATTTACACCCTGTGTTCATGGTATGGCAGCATTACTTATTTACAGCATTTCACCTGGATTTGGAAATGCACTGGTAGGAATAAATATATGAAAGCTTTATTACTTGTGTTAATATAATGCCGCTTTGGGTGCTATTACTAAATAAAGGATAAATGAATAAATAAAGAAAATGTGAAGTTTATTTCCTTTAAGTTCTTCGTTTCTTCTAGGTTTCATGTTCTTCACTAATCAACCACATTGACTTTCTTTGCTCACTTACTGGCTGAAAAATTGAGAATAAATGGTCCAGTTACACCACAGATGCGTCAGTGAGAGAAGAGATATAATAAATGAATGAATGGCAGTCAGTGGAAGCTTCCGTACAGCACTATCTGAAGTTCAGCCCATTTCTGACAGTCAAAGAACATTACAATTCTGGTGCTTTGGGTGCAGTTTGGGAAACTCCTAATTCACTTCTTCAAGACTCATAAATTAAAGCCTGTAACTCACTATGCTCAGAAAAAAATAGGACAAACTCCTATACCGACTTTCCCATCCCTGCTATGATGTGGATGCATCTCAAAGTGATGCTAGAGGAGCGGGATACAATTCTCTAGGCCATCCTTGGTGATACACAAAGTACTGCACAGTGGTTTTCTCCCACCTGGTGATGTGGACACATGATGGGAGCCATGATGGCATGCAAACAGATCCATCTGTGACTCAGGTCAGCCCTTCTGCACAAGTTTTTATTGCTACTGACATGATAGCGGCTACTCTTAAGTCATATGGATTGGCAGTAACTTGTTGCTCTGCAACACCTCAGGCTACTCCCACCACGATATCTGCTGTGAAGACCCAGCCATAGTCAGGATCTGCATTCCTCGTCAAGGCTGGGAAGCAAGTCCAAGGAAGAGCAGGGAAGCAATGAGGTGGTGAGTGGATGGGACAAGATGGTAAGATAGGAATAGAGAAGGGAAGGGCTGGGGCTGGGGCCGAGCAAGGCCAGCAAAAATGCTGCTCAGCAGAGCATGGAAAGAGATGTCTGGACAGCCAGGCAAGGGCAAGGTGTTTTTGAGAAGACTGTGGGATATTTCAAAATTTTTCGCTTGCCTCTTGCTAGTTCCCTAGTCTCTGTTTCAGCAAATACCATCTTCCTTAGAAGACAGGGACAAACTCTGGCAAAAATGCATAGAGCAGCAACCCGCTAATGAGGTAGGAGTCTATTGGCTCTATCCTGGTTTGAACAGAAGTAATTCTGTTCACTGATTTTAATATTCAACTTGGTCTGTTCTAAGAGACTGGACTTTTTGAAGTTAACGGCATGTTTTTGCAGACACTGTCTGCTACCAGAAGTGGTAACATCTGATGTTTACTGTTACTGCCAAAGATTTGTATGCACAAAGGCTCTTGCTTGTACTTGCTCCAGTGGTAACCAAGGTCAGTGCTAGATCTTGTGTAATATGTTGAGGTTGCTGGGAAGTGAAAAGGTCGCACCTGTGGATTAGAGCGGACAGGATGGGTGACCCAAACCTGAACAACAAAATATTCCATTCCATATATGTCATGTTGAGTATAAATTTGAGGGATCGTGGGGGTAAAGCTCTCCTCTTCTTCAATGCCTGTCATCCAAGGAGGACTCCGTCCATTCCCTTGCCTTTCATCGTAATTCTGGTTTTCTGAATCCAGTTCCTGAACCTAGTTCATATCTGACGCTGAACTTGGGACTTCCCTGGTGCCTGCCTGCTCTGTGGCATCAGCGATTGGCAAGCGGATTGTTTCCGATACTGCTTTTGTACATATTTGTATATATGTCATTATTTTAATTATTTCTTTGTTAGTACTAACATTGTTTTATTAAAGCTGGTTTAGTTTCCTTTTCCAATCAATGAGTCTCTGCCTTATTCCCTTTTCCCTTTCCATTTGGAGAAGGAGAAGATTTAGAGAGCATCTGTCATTCATGTAATGGCCTGCCCAGCCCTAGCACTTGGCAGGCTAACTGAAACTCCCTCTTCCCCATCTCCACTGGTACATGACACTGGATCTGGTCCATGTCCTTTCACCCTGCCCATACCGACTGGTTTAGCTATCCTCACTGAAGCTCAGCGCTTAGTAGAAAGCAGGTATCTGATCTTGGCTCAGGCTCTTGTGAAGAAAGAGCTGTTGGAGAAAGAGGTGGAAGGAGCTGTGATGGCTCCTTTTGTTATGTGCAGCCTGTGCCTATAGAGCATAGAAATGCTCCTGAGATTCACCTCAGGGCAAGGCAAAGCACACCTGTGCTGAACAGTTCCCTGGCAGAGCTGTACATCAGCCCAGCATCAGCACTGTCAGTATTGATGATTTGGTATTCCTGATTCATAGTGAGGAAGAAGTGAGGAGGGTGAAGATAAAACATGGGACAGGAGAGCCTTGGGTGTAGCACAGTCACAAATGCCAATGTAAAGCCCTGACCCATGACAGGACTTTCTCAGGGTTAATGTGTCACCGAGCATAAAGAACCAAAGGTCCTTAAGATCCAACAGTGCCTTGGTCAACCAGGCATCTACCTGTGGCTGAAAACAGGTGTGGATCCCTGTGTGCAGAAGTATATGAATTAGACCGAGAACGGATTTTTAATCACGTGGCAGGAGAGATTGTGGATGGTTCATTGTGTGACAGGGGAAGCTAAGTGACTGTAGATGTGTAAACCTCCTCTGCTAAGCTAGTGCACCCTGGTTATAATCTCATTGGGATATTATCCAAGATATGAGTTATTGCAGAGCACTTTCATCTGCTTTACCCACTGAGACTCTAGGGAAGATGAAATTACAAACAACACAGTTGTGTAAGAACAGAGGATTCAGTCACAGTGCAAGCTGATAAGTAGAAACAGGCCTCATTATTACAAGTTTTGATAGGCAGCTCCATTCCTTCACCTTCACCTAAATGTCACTAGTTTCAGTTTCATCTAATGATTTCTCTAAAGGCTGATCCAGGAGGACATGCTCCCTCTGGATATATGAATCCTTTGCTTCCTGTGTCTGCCATAGCTATGAATGTCATACTAAGTCAAAGGGAAATTACTGCACAGTAACAGTACCTCATACTTTTATTAGAGATATGAATTTGAATTCATTTCTCACTGTCAAAGGTCATATTAGATGTCCCTTGCTTCCGTGTTCAGAGAAATCAGCTCACTTCAGCTGTGAGGGAATGAAGAGAAATGGTCTGAAGTTTTCTGAGAGCTCAGGGACACTTGGTGAGTTGGAGCCCTCTCAAAAGATGTAAGGCAGTGAGATAATTGCAAAAGCAAATGTAAAGATGAAACGTTCAGCTACAAGCATAGTTGTGTCTTGAAATAAAGGCATACTTAAGTGTTTTAAGTCGTATGACCCTGCATAGGCAGTAGTTCTCTGTTCCTAGAGAGGTAAACTCTACTGCAAACTGTTCTCACAAGCAGCATTTCTGTTACCTAAAACATGAAGAAAAAGGTCACTAGTAAAGTTTCCTCTGTTTGAGGAAACAGCCTAAATTCATATTGTCAGGAAAAATGTATGTTCCTGTTCTCTAAATAAATCCATGAAATGTTAGTGGAATGTCAGGAATCACATTTGAGGGATTTTCTCAG